CCTAGTAACTCCTAAAGAATTTTTACTAAAAGCTAAAGAATTAAAGAAGGCATTAAGACCTACTAAATCTTACTTAAACTACTTAGTAATAGTAAACTAGTCCTAAAAAGAACTATTAATTATAGCATTCTTAAAAGCAACCTGCTTATCCTGCTCTGCCTTTTTAAGCTTATTTATAAAGTTAAAACTATATTAGATTATATCTAAACCCTTTACCTTAACTTAATAATACTAATACCTTAATTAAGTAATTTTAGCAAATTAAGTATTTATTATATTATAAATATAAGTAGACTTTGCTTAAGGACCAATTAGTTCCTCCTTAATAGCCTCCTCCTCTCGCTTTAAATAACACTTCTTATTAACAATCTTCTTAACTAATAACATATTAGCAAAACCTATAAAACAGTCTTATAATAAAAACATACCTACTACTACAGAAAGACTATAACTATTATAAGATATTCTAAATCTAATATAAGGATTATACTAATTTGACTTTATAAGGTTAAGGATATAAAAATCCTTTATTTTCTAATAAATATAGTTAAAATAAGGCATAATAGGATTCCCAAATACTGCAATAAGGATATAGAGAGAATTGCAATTTTTAATAAAAGTCTTCTTAGCCTTAGATATGCAGTTAGATATCTTAAGGGGATTATAAGATTAAGATTAAACTTACTAAGAGATAACTAATAGAAAATATATTAACTAGGCCTTAGGGATAAGGCCTAAGGGAGGGGAGAGATTATATTATAACTCTAATAGTTTTATTATATAACGTGCTTGATAAGCGAGTGAGCCAGACAAGCGAGTGAGCCACATATCTTAACCTTCCAAATTAAATTCGCAATAAAAACACCACAATCTATCTGATCAATTAAAATTAATTGTTATACTATTCCCTATTGACCTCAATTGCCTCCTGACAGGTCCTTGCATTATGCCCGGTCTTTCCGCAAATACTACACTGCCGAACCTTTGCTCCTTGTGACCTTCCGCGACCACCTCTCGAGGATTCAGCTGTTAGCTGCGCATCAATATCTATCTGATCAATTGCTTGTAATGCTTCCCCTATAGTTAAAGGCCCTTCTTTCTGTACCTTAGTCCTTTTTCCCCTCCGGCGTCGCCCTACTGTCTTATTCTCTTGTTCAAGTTGTCGAACCCTATCATCTAGTAAGACCATCTTATGCATAAGAACAGTTGTTGCCTTCTCAAAATGCTTTACGGCTTCAATTATTGACTCAGGGGAGCTGCTCTTATGATTTCTGATCCTTCCTTGCAGATACTTAGAATGCGATTGGGCCTCTAGCACTGTCTTTGGGGTCCTTGCAGTCCAAGGGGTCGATGGTATTATGACCTCTACGGGAGGCGTCGGAGTCCGTAGCTGCACATCAAGCTTCGAGATGACATTTTCTGGGTTAAAGGGAGCAAGCCCAGCTCCTCTGAAACCTCCCTTGATATTGCTTTCTGTAATAGCAGCTTGGTGGGCGGCGTAAAAGGCAGGAAAGAACTCAGTCTTCTTAATATAGGTTATATTGCATCTGATCAGATGCTCTATTTCTCGACCATATGCCTTTTTCAGCGGCCCAAAGCACCCTACGTCAAGAGGCTGAAGTAGATGAGAGGCATGAGCAGGCATACAGAGCGTGATAATCTTGTTCTCTTTGCAATATTTCTCGAATTCGACGGAGTGGTGACTTTCGTGACCATCAAGGATCAAGAGGCGATAGCGACTGTTCGTTCGCTTAGCTGTAGCCCGATCAAAGTGCTTTAGCCACTCGAGACCCAGCTTATTATTAGTCCATCCATTTTCGCTCAATGCAATAACCCAATCGCCGGGGAGGTCGCATTCTTGGTACCAATTGGCAAGGTGATCCTTGCCTGCACCAATGATAAACGGCGGGATCGATTGACCGTCCGCATTGATCCCCTCGATCACAGTAATCCATTCGCGGTTTCCAGGCTGTACTTGCTTTGGTCTTCCTTGCCTGTAAGAGCTTGTGACGACTGTTCCGGGCTCAATTACGCCCATCATAAAGCCGGTCTCATCAAAGTTCCAGATATCATCTGATCGGATACCGTATTTCGCGATTGTATTCTCTACAAGCCGAAACCAGCCACGAATAATAGTCGGATCTTCGCATTTAGCTCTCTGATAGTCATACCTCCGAGATAGACGTGTCTTTAGCTCTGGTTGTCGCTTGACGAAGTTATAAGCCCAGCGCTTGCCGACGTATGGCGCGTTGCGGTTGGCAAGTATAGAATTAGCTATATCTTCCACATATGATAGTCGCGAGGGAAAACCTCGCAAATCTAGGTCTAAAATGAATTGGACTACTATCTGCTCTTCCTGATCAGATAGTTTCCGTGACTTTGTGGGAGTATCACGCGTTGAAAGAATGCCATGCTGGCGGCGACCTAAGGTACTACGGTTGACATTGTAGATATTTGCCGCCCGTCGGACTGTAAGTTTAGGGTTATCTTGAAGGGCCTGAAGGGCAAGAAGGATTCTAGCTTCATTTGAGGACTGTGGCATATTTGTTGGTTGAGATATAGCTGATTGAATTATAATGTTGTAAGGTGAGGGATTTTTGGCTCACTTGCTTGTCTGGCTCACTCGCTTATCATACACGTTATACCTTATATTTTCTACTAATTACTATATCTCCTGCTAAAGACAATTAGCGCTAAGACTTTATAATTAGAGATAATTTATTATAATTAGTATTAATTTACTTAGATTATTACTAATCCTTTAATAACCTTATTAATTCCCTAAAGATATATTTAATATATAAATTATACTTATTAGCACTTTTATAAATTTAAGCTTACTAGCTATTAATAAAATATCTTTATATTAATTAAGCCTAATATGTATTAAATCTACTATTAAGAGATATAATACTTTAATAAGCTTAGTTATATGCCCTATGCAATCTGCTAATAATAAACCCAGTATGGCTTAGTTTAATACAGTTAGACCTAACTGTTATAATATACTTTTATTATAGTCTTTTTTTAATATATATAATAAGGTATTATATTTACTTTTATAGTATTTTAACTTTAATACTTGTTTAATTAGTATTTTAAATTTTCAAGGTGCTAATTTTATATCTTATAATAACCTTATTAAGCTACTTAAACTATTACTTTATTTCCTTTATACTAGCCTTTTTATACTTATAATATATTACTTTCTTTACCTTTAATATTAAGGTATTAAGCTTAAGATAAATATTATAAAAGTGCTTATATTATATTTTCTTAATTAGCTTAATATCAAGATTATAATAGCTTTTTATAATATTAACTATATTTATATTCTTGCCTTTAAAAGCTAGAAAATTAGACTTTTAAATTTAAATACTAAAGCATATAATAGCCTTATTTTTATTATTTAAAAGAAGTTATAATTAGCTAATATTTAGCTAAATAATAAGCTTATAATTAAAGGTATTTATATCTTTAAGTTACTTAATAATCTAAGTAATAAATAACTTTTTAAAGCTAGGATATTATTATTTAATAGTATAAAGAGAGAGAGCCTTTTTTAGCCTATTAGAAGTATTATAAAATAAGCCCTTTTAGAGTTATTAATATAAAAAAATTAACTATTTAAGTAGCTTAAAGGTTAGGATTTAATAATATAATATATTTAAATAAAATTAATACTTTTTTTACTAATTAGTATTTAGATTTAAGTAGAAATTATATATAAAATTAATAAAATTTATAATAACTAGCTATAAGGGGTTATCTTACCCTTTTATACCGTCCTACTATGTTAGGCCTAACTAAGCTTGCTTAGTTAGCTCGCCCTGCCCCGCGGCATGAGTTAACAGGTAAGTGTAATGCTGGCCTGTAAGCTACTGTAATCTGGGGGGTTATAGGGGGGTTATGGCAGGTTATAAGGCATATACAGCAGTATAACTACTGGTAATATAGAGGTTATTATAGATCTTTTTAGTCTATTATATAAGATTTATATACTACTAAACCTTATTATAATTATAACCTCTTATACTAGGTCAAGGTTACGGGTTCGATTCCCTATCGGCTTACAACACCTCTGCTATGGCTCGTGCCTTCCTTAGCTTAGGGCGCCTTATGCCTTATAGCTGCAGCAAGTCTTAGGGGTTTACACGCTTGTATTATCGCCTATTTATGCCTATGGAGGGACCGGGGCACCCTGAAATACAGCAATGTAATTGGCTTGGCTGTAGGGAAGTGCCCTGTAATACAGCGCGAGGCCGCGCTATATAAGAAGGGGGGGATAAATATAACGCTGGCCTGTAAGCCACTATAATCTAGGGGGTTATAGGGGGGTTATGGCAGGTTATAAGGCATGTGCAGTAATATAACTACTAGTAACATAGAGGTTATTATAGATCTTTTTAGTCTATTGTGTAAGATTTACATGCTGCTAAACCTTATTATAGTAAGTACTTTACCTAACCTTTATACCTTAAACCTATTTTTTTAAAAGCTTATAAAAAGCTTAAAATAAACCTAATATAGCTTAAATATTAATAGCTTACTGCACCAGTATACGGGGGACAAGCTTAAGGAGATAATAACTTTCTGCACTAGGAAGGAGTTTTAAAACCTGACTAAAATACAGCTGCTAAAGAACCAAAGCAAGGCTATCCCTCAGCTTCTAAATCTGAATGGTTTTAGCGACAATTACTGCGAGTTTTTGACCATTAACTATTCAAATATTATAGGCCACTGCAGTCAGTATAATCATTATGACCAACAAGCTGGTCAAAAGGGGTGGAGGCGTGTCAGCCTTCAGAGATTTGTGAAGGGAAGTAATGCGCAATTTTGGATTATGGAATAGTAGAGTTTTTAAGTATTTAGAAGCGGTTTACAAGTATAGCTACGATTGGTCATTCTCATTGCAATTTTCTAATCTTGATCCATTTTTTCTACCAGTATAATCTATAACTTCCGCAGGGCGGCCAGAGGATGCATAGCTGGGGCAGATGATGATATTGCTCTGCGACCGGCTCGACGTTCTCCTATCTCTGCTCTGCTCTGCTCTGCTCTGCTCCGTAGCTATCAAGCCCGAACCGGACAAAGTTGAGCACCACTATCGCAATCGCCACAAGACTACCAGGGAGCCGCTGCGAGCCGTAATCGCAATTGCAGAATCATTCTACATCATTATTCCAGCTCCAGATTCAAGTAAAAAAGGACTTTTACGCATCTTGATTAGGCCATTACCCCTGTTTTCCTCTTTCACTTGAAAAAGGGTATGTAGTGAAACTGCCACGGCTCTACTTTCAGTTACAGAGCGGGGCGCTTAACAGCCTGATTGGTTCTTTGCTTCCAGCCCCGTATTGTTTTCATAGAGTTTAATATAGATTTTCTGTTTATAGATCTGCTGTTATGGCTAGGCCCCCTATAACAGAAGCTTCTAGGAGGAACCCGGTGTACCAAGTTAATTACTACGATCGTGATTAATGCCTAATCTTTTACCCCTATAGTATCTGCCGGCATTTCTTTTAACTAATAGGTAGCCGGGATTTAAATTTCTAATAACCTACACTTTAGTTACAGCGTCTTATAATTCTAAAACATCAGATTAATCCATATCTATTTTTGTAGCCATTATGTTACTACTTGGCTGTCTGGCAAGAAATCTAGCTAAGCTTATAAAAGTACACCACTATTGGCGCATATGTGGCGTTCCCGTATATATCGCCGCCATAGTTTAAGTAACCCTGAACGTCGGGTCTCTTAAGATGCATAATATCCTTCATATCACCATAAATCCAGACAGTCTGCATACCCTGTATCATATATTGCAAAGTATGGCAGTGCACCATCTAAACACCCGGGTCGTTGATCCGAAGTCTCCAAACCCTCCACCTAGCCTTCTTATTGGGTTTAACCCCTTCCTGGTACCTATAGAGGAGCGTAGTATCCCTAAGTACAGGGTATATGCCATTAAGACGTTTCTCTACTACATCAGGATCCCAGGCGCCTGGACCACCTCCTATATCCCAATAATAAGCGCCATGCGCATGCCACAGGTACGTATCCAATTAACCGCCAGGCGTTCCATCCTCTAAACGCGACGCAAGTTGCTAGAAGACGATTTCTATAACCTCTCCGAGCTTGGCTGGATACGTGCCTGTCTTAGGATCGAGACCACCGTTGGCAACTGCGGCATCATAGTCGGGGAGATATCGCGATTGATTATTGTATAGCGCGACGAGGTATGGTTGAGAAGAGCTGGTATGAGGTACCGGATCGGCTTGATCCTCAGTCTAGGTGTTATTGTTGACTTGCCAAGCGTAGTAACGGTATGCCAGCAGCTAGGTGTGGATAATAACTCGGCGAGTTACCTCATTAATAGTAGGAGGATTGGTATGGCGGAGCGGCCGGAGGTTATAGTCGAGGTAACCGCTAATAGTCGGAGGTAGAATCATTAGAGACTTGGACAGGTTAGAATGCTCCGGTAAACGCTTTTAAGACGGGAGGTTACAGGTATTCTTATATCGCAAAATGCCATAACTGGAGACTATCTCAATTCTATCCCGGTTCTCTACCTGAATATAGTAGTCAAGCTTTTCGAGTTCATGCAGTTCTTGGCAGGATTTCATGCGCAAAACAGCATCATAACGTTGGCCGGTGCCGATTTAGATAAGGTCAACGGTATATGGCTGCATGTAGTGGCCATCCGCTGCTATAATATCGAATTGGGTGTGATTTTCAACTCCAATCATCGCCATAAAGAGGGAAGTTACGCCGATAAACCTTAGACGATATGCCTTGGCGGGCTCTACCTCAATCACCTCGAGGGTTTTAGAGGCTCGTTGCAGAACGCCACTACTAGCGATACCCTTGCCGTTGATGAGGAATCCTCTGGCCTTACCGGGCCATCTTATAGGAGTATCCTGCATTTGTTCCTTCACTTCCTGATCCGTCTCCTGCCAGTACTCCGAGAGGAAGAACACGCGCTCCAGGTTCCTATCGCATGATGTTGCACCGGGGTCCTCCACAATCAAGGGCCCGCCAGCCGTGCTAGCTTGGAACCCGATGTGTGAGTGATAAAAATATGTTCCCGCAGTATCGACTTCGGTCCTGAGCTCGTAGTCGAAGTAGTGCCCCGGGGGTATGGGCCACTGGCTGGCAAGCGGTATGCCGTCTGAAAAGGGATATGCTGACTGGCTAAGGCCGTGCCAGTGCTGCATGCAAAAATCAGTAAGATTACTTTTCATCTTTCGGGACGTTCCATTCTTTGGGGGGAGAGAGTAATGGTCTCGTACCATCGTCAAATTGTTATCCTTCATGTCGTTATCTACTCGGATCTACGTGACCCTATTCTCTATAATTCGCACTTCAGGACCCGGAGAAGTTTCGTTTACCAACGTGGTGTATCTGTTGAGTCCCCCGATCGTCACATTATGTCTGGTGACTCTGAGCACTTCGTCTGGGGTGAAATTTGCGTCATGTACGTGATGCTTGAACCCGCTTACGGTGCCAAGAGCGCAGTAGAGCGCAACGAAAATTTGCTGCCATTGCATAGCAAAGTCACCGTTTCATTCTTGAATTGTTCGAGAAGGTCGGATGGTAAATGAAGGCCCTTTCTGCTCGACAAGTCGCTTTTATATCAAAAGAATATCCTACGACTAACAACGACTGGGTAAATTCGCCTTGGCTCGGTCGGTGTATTGCAAATGCTTAGACGGCTGTCACCCCTTGTTCAATTTCCAATCTCCGTTCCGAGACGGGGCGACAGCTGTACATTCTTGCAAATTGCTGACAAGGTGAAAGAACGGGTACCGGCGAATCGGTATAAATACGAAGCTTAATTCACCGGTACATTCCGACCAGCCTCATACCAGAAGGTGGACACGGGTACAAACTTTCTCCTCCCCCCGATCCCGGGCTTTTCTAATTTGTGGCACCTAATTTCACTTAATCGAAAGTAAAGCCCTAAATTGTTAACCCTTCACAAGGTGCTAGGAGCTAAAGAGCTGTATAGACTAGCGGGTTCTCGTCTTATTGCTACTCCTCGGATTTATTCGCGATGTGCTGTTCCAGGGAGTTCTGTAAGAGGTATGGTGTAGACCGTTAGCTTCACGCCTACCGAGTGCAGTGTAAGTTCGCCAGCCATAGAAAGATTCCATAGAAAGATTTAACATTTTCTAGCAGAAAGCTCCTTGGACTAGTCAATTGGTAATAACGCCTGGCTTGGAAATGTTATACCGGTTAACTCGATAGCTGCCCATGGCCGCTGCGAGGGGAAGAGGGCCGTCACTCTAAATATTAGGTATCGACAGAACCGAGTTAGTGAAATAAACTATATTAAAACTCAGCTGTGGTTCTCCTTCCATGTAGTTTCCGAACGCAGACTTGGATTCGGCAAAAGTGAGCTTAAACCCAGAAGTGTCAATGCAGAGATAACTTCAAAAGTTAGTTATCCTTCAAAATTCTCATTGTAGTCAAAAATCATCATATCAGCCTTGATACAATTGGAAGAGATAGCAATGGTATTTTTCGTGCCGTAGATGGTTCTGTTGCCAGCTGCCTCGTGGCCAGGCGCATACGCAAATAGCACGCGGCCTGCCTGAAGCAGCCGAGTTGGTGCAATGGAAGGAACCATAGGATTCAAGGCAGTAAGTATCCCAAGAAGATTAGAAGATTAGCGAGAGGTGTAGCAATGAATGACAGTTGGAAAATAAAAGAGAGTTAGTGAGATGGCCTTGCTGCGAATTAATTGCTAAATTGCATCAGCTCTAAATAATACGAATTATAGCTATAAAAAACGACCAGGTAGGTAAAGTCAAATGCGCAGCCTCGGCTTTTGAGGTTAGCGGTTCTTGACACATCGATGATTCCATTTCCCGTGCGACTTGACGAAATCGTGTTAGTTCAAACTTTAATCTTGACGGAGGTTGCTGCAGAACGAGGCTAAACGAGGCTAAACGAGAGCATACGAACGAATGGCTTGACCGCTGAACAATGACTAAAACTTGAATTGAGTTTTCATGCGCCGAAATTAAAGGTGTGGAACTATGCGATATCTCGCTTTGACCTTGCCCGAGCTGTTGACCACACCTTCGATATCCCAGCTTGGTAGGTGACATTGCCCATCGCCGATCTCAATTTGGTGGAGTTCAATAATAATGACAAGGAATTACAAGGACCGTGTTCTGATCGATTTCGCGGTATTTGACGTCATGTCTGACTTTCAGGCCATCCTTGAGAATGAAAGGATATCTGAGCCAAGCCAACCTGGAGCTCACAGCGTTGCACTGGACTGCTTAGATTAAGTTCGTCGAGTTATTCAAAACTCATCTTACCTATCGACTATAAGATGGCGGTTATGACGTAATTCTCTGTAACAGTGCTGTAAGGTTTCTATAGGTAGCTGTAAGCGCCGATAAAATAAAACACAGAATATATTGGGACGCACCAAATAGAATCAGGCTACTGCGGACAATTTGACCGATAAGATTAGGTAGAGGTGGTTTAGCTTACTGTTATGGGAGATCCAGTAGGGGCGGAGATTATGGCAGAGCAGGACTCTTATCCTTTTTTCGGTGCCAAAGCGACCGGATTAAGTAGTAAGACCTATAAGTAAAGTTTAAGATACCGTATAGTAATTAGAAAACACCCCTAAAGAAGTGTAAAAGAACACCTGCTAGATCACGTAAACTGTGCCTGCTAAAGAATAAGTTAACTGACTACTAATTAAAGTTTAAAAGAGCTGTAGCAGCGGCAGTAATAATAAAACGGCAATCCTATAAAAGGCTCTAGATCTCCCGGCAGAGTTGCATAGGAAGACCAAACGTGCTATAGCTTGGTTTACTATAAGCTCCTATAAGCAGCTATATACACTACTGTAATTGTTATAATAGCATTTATTAGCCAATCTTTTGCCCTATAGCATAGTAGTTAGGTGTAACTGTTATAAATTAGCTATAGGAAGTACTAGAATGTAATAGAAAGGGTTTTAAATAGGTAAACTAGTCTATACTAGGTTTAATATTTGCAGAGTTATAGGGCGTTATACTAAGCCGTTACAAAATATTATATCTCTTAATAGTAAATAAAGCAGGTTAGGCATATTTAGGTAAAGAAGTCTTATTAATAGCTAGTAAGCTAGAATCTATAAAAGTGCTAGTAAATATACTTTATATACTTAAGGTTATAATAAGAACTAATAATAAAATAGAATTAGTCCTTTATAAACTAGTAGTATTTATATATTAGTCTAGATAGATTATTAAATAAAAGTCTTTAGTCCTTATCTTATTAATAAACTAAACTATTTAGAAGGCCAGTCTAACCTGCTAAATTAAGTCTTTCTTTATAATTAGGGAAAAATAATAAGGTTTATATAATATAACTACTAGGGTTATAATATAATCTTTCCTCTTTATTAAGTCTTATCCTTAAGACTTATATATCTATCCTTTTATTTATTTATTAATTATAAGTTTAAACTTAATTTTATTTTTTATTTTAATATTAATAAAATATTAAGTTATATTTTAAAGAATAAACCTTATTTAAAAATACTAAAGGTAGTTAAACTTTCTAAATATATTATTAAGTTTAGTAATAAAATTATATTATATTTTTATTATTTCTATAATAGCCTTTCTTATTAGGTTAAGGGTAATTAGTCTTATTAATATTAGAACTGCATTAAGGCTAAAGTAATATATAATGGTTTAGGTATTGCTTTTTATTATAAGTTTCTTATCTTATTTATTCCTTTCCTTTTTAATTTTTTAATAATTAAAAAGAATATAAAGGTTTATATTAAGTTAGAAAAGGAAAAGGAAGAAACTAAAGCAGTTTTAAAGGCTGCTATAATAAAGTTAAAGTATATTTATAAATAAAAGTATTTATTAAAGCAAAAGGGTAATAAGTTATTTATATAGGAAATGCAATCTTAAGAGGAGTTAGGTAAGATTTAGGAAGAATCTGTAATTATTTTTAAGGCTTAGTCCCTAAGTGCTATAAACTTAATTAATTAAAACTTGATTTTAGGTAATATTCCTTTTAAGCTTATTAGTAAAAGTTTTTTAAGAGTTATTAGGTATTAGTAAGGTATTTAAATAGTTCTTATATGTTTTCGTTTTTTAGGTAGTCCTTTTATTTAATAAGGTATTCTATTTACTTATTAATTCTCCTTATATCTTTAATTACTTTTGCTTTATAGACTTCTAGTCTTTTAATTTCTTTTAGTTTATTACTAGTCTTAATATATATTATATTAGCTGCTAATTTAAGTAATATAATATAAAAGATTAAATAAAGCCTAACTTTTAGTAATAAGTCTAATTTATAATTATTTTTTAAGATTTTTCTTTTAACTTTATATAGCCTAATATACTTATAGTCTAATTTATAACTTAGTTATTTTATTATAATGTTTTTTATAGCTAAGTAAACTATATCTCCTTTTAAGAAGGTTAGTCTTTTAATCCTTTTTATATTATAGTATTTTTTTTTTATTTTTTAATAAATTTTAATTTTTTCCTTAATTCCTTATATAAAGCTTTTAGGTCTTTGTTCTTAATTATAGCAGCTAGGTTAACTGTTTTTAGTTCTTATACTATATAATATAGGTCTAGGGTAAATCTAAAGTTTACTATTAAAGGTATTATTTTTATGCTTTTATTATATACTATATTATAGGCAAGTTAGGCGCTTAGTAACTTTTTTACCTAATTATTTTATTTATAATTAATATAATATTATAAGTATTATTTTAGTATTTAGTTTATTTATTTAGTTTATTTATCTATTTATAATCTAAATACTATTAATAGTTAGTAGTTTAGTCTTATATATACTATAAGTACTTGCTAGAACTTACTTATAAATATAGTTCCTCTATTTATTAAGATCTTATATAGTAACCTATATTTCCTAACTATCTTATTATAAAAGATATAGTTAAGTTATTTTATATTTATGGCTTCTCTATAAGGTATATAGTAAGAGAATTTAGTAAGTTAATTTACTATATTTAAGATATTATTATAAAGGATTTTAGTTAAGGGTTTTTTTAATAAGGGTAGCTTAGTTATATAGTTTATAATTAAACTTTATAGTCTTTTTACTACTTCTAGTAGTTATAATAGGCTATAAGGTTTATATTATTATACTTTAGTTTTTATATATAAGTTATATTATTTAATAACCTTCTTTATTATCTTCTTAATTCCTTCTTAATTATAATATATTTAAATACATTTTAGGGTTTTTATAATGCCTTAGTAGCTATATAGGGGATATCTATATATATCCTATATTAGTTTTTCTTTAAACTGTTTAAGTACTTATAGTTTATTATTATAAGTAGGCATTTTGGCTTTACTTTTAATAAGATCTTAAATATTATATCTTATAATAGTATTTTAAATTTTATTTATTTATTCTTTCTAATTTATAAGTTTATAATTACTTATAAGTCTTAAAGTTTTTACTTATTAGGTAAATTAGTATTTTCCTTTATTATTCTTTTTTAGGAGTTATTCTTTTACTTTTATTATATTAATAT